GTGACGGCGGAGGCGGGGCCCATCGATCGAGGAGGCGGGGCCCGCAATCGATCGTGGAGGAGAAGGAGGCGGACAGAGGACTGGAGCAGACAGGTAAAGAAGGCATGGTGGGGTCTATGGTGGGCTCTGCAGGGTCACCCTCAGGTGGGCTGTGTGGGATCTCAGGTGGGCGTAACTAGAAATCACAGGGCCCCAAACAAAATGTTGCTATGGGGCCCGGTGATTTCTAGTTACGCCCCTGCTTCTATCATGGCGTGTAGTGAGATCTCGCACGTCACGCGTGCGGTCTTGTGAATGTGTTGCACGTCGCGCATGGGGCTGCCACGCAATGCCCTACGTGTGACCAAGCGCCAATGAAGCTGATGCACCTATTGGAGCCTCGGGTGTTTTTTAGCCACGTGTTTGACGTGTGGCATAGCACATGGAAAATCTGCATCTTCCTTGGCGTGTCGTTATGGCACCACAAGCGTGACCCGTGTTTTTTTTTTCCAACAAAATTGCGTGATTCTGCGCACATGTATGTGCTACACAAGCGTGAATGGGGGGCTGAAGCTGCAAACTGTCATGGCGGCGTTGACTCCCCCTCGCCCGTGATTCTGGCCACATAACGTACGGTACAATATGATTGTGAATGATCCCGCCACACATCCCTCTCGGCCTTTTAAAAAGTCACATGCCCATTACCAACCACCAATCACAGGCCGCCGCACCAGCACGCCACACACACACACACACACACACACACGCGCTACAACTGGATCAGATAACACAGGAAATATTCTGAGGCTTCTCCATATTTCATCCACAGCACCGTACAAGCTGCAGTCCACCAACCTCTCCCTTGGCTGCCTCTCATGCTGATCCTCTGGCTTCAATAAGCATGATGCAGATCAGGAGTTCCGAATCCTCTGACTTTGCTGGCCGCGTGCTGCTTCTGCGAATCCGGAGGCAGACGGACCACCAGCGGCATGGGAAGGACCTCGGAGATGGATCCATTAAATGGGACCTCTCACAGGTAAAGTAACTTTATGGTATACATGTACAGCGCCGCAGCATATGATGGCGCCATATGAAGCATCGATACAGAAAATCACACAGAGTAACGCCTGCTCATGCTCTATTGTACATTTGTGCAGCGCCATGGCATATGGCAGCACTATATAAAGCATTGATCATGAACGCAAGGCGCCATCCTTACCTGGTGTAGTTGGGGGTCTGCGGAATGGGTTCCTGACCCCAGGAGATCCCCAGACAGAGGGAGAGAGCGAGGAGGAGAGCGAGGAGCATCCTGCTGAGTGAGTGAAGAGTGGAGTGCGGGAAGCGTATGGGGTGGGAGGGGGTCAGTGGCTGGATCTCTATGGAGGAGGAGAGCAGTGTTCAAAGTCTATGTGTGGGACAAGTGGACGGCGTCCAGGCTCCGTGCACAGGGTGAGGGGGGGTCAGTGTCCAAACTCTGCGAGTGGGGAAGACGGTCAGTGTGGGGTCTCTGTGACTGGTTTTAGGGGAGCTGGTCAATGTTGGGTCTCTGTGTCCAGATTAGGGGACACAGCACCTAGATCTAGGGGAGGTAGTCACTATGGGGTCACTATGTTCAGTCTAAGGGTCACAACGCCTGGTCCTACGGGAGGTAGTCACTATGGGGCCCCTATGTTCAATCTAAGGGTCACAGCGCCTGGTCAATGTGGGGTCCCTATGTCTAATCTAGGAGATACAGAGTCCAGTCCTAGGGAAGGCAGTCACTAGGGGGGTCTCTCGATCCAGTCTAAGGGACACAGCACCTGGTCCTAGGGGAAGTAGTAAATTTGGGGTCCTTATGTCTAATCTTGGAGACACAGCATCCAGTCCAAAGGGGGTAGTCAGTGGGGGTCTCTCGGTCCAGTCTAGGAGACACCGCGCCTGGTCCTAGGGGAGGTGGTCAGTGGGGGTCTCTCGGTCCAGTCCTAGGGGGGTTAGTCAGTGGGGGTCTCTCGGTCCAGTCCTAGGGGGGGTAGTCAGTGGGGGTCTCTCGGTCCAGTCCTAGGGGGGTAGTCAGTGGGGGTCTTTAGGTCCAGTCTAGGGGACACAGCACCCAGTTCTAGGGAAGGTGGTCAATGTTGGGTCTCTGGGTCCAGTTTAGAGGACCAGTTAGGTGGTCAGTTACCGGTTCTCTTTGCCCGCTGTTGAGTTGGGACGGTATATCGGTCTTTGAGCCTCTTTGTCCCGATTCGGTGAGCGCAGATGAGGGACACAGATGTCAGTGAATGTTCTGGAGAAGAGTCAGGACTGGT